TTTTTTTTTTTTTTTCTACTTATAAATTTTTTACTAAAGCACAAAAAATTGTTGAATATTTTATGTGATATAAATTGTTGACGTCAATCCGATTTATTTAGCGTCAAATAATTACCGTCACCAAATGTATCATTTATTACTACTCAAACGTTACGCCTTTTTTTATCCATCCATTTTTGTGTTCCTCTAATTTTATACCTTTTTTTTTTTCTTTTTTTTTTCCAAAAACTATTCTTCTTCTCTTCTAAAGATCAGTTTTCTTAAAATGTTGAAAACAAAGTAGCGGAAGAAGATGGAGGAGGGGGGAGGGCGGGGGGAGAAAAAAAACAAAGAACACTTTAATAGTTTGAATTGGTAAACGATCTTTTGAAAAGAGTTTTTCTCTCTTCTTTTTTTTTTTCAGTTAATGACAATTCCAATATAAATTCAATAACTTGGGAAAGTTTGTTTTTTGCTAAAACTTCAAAATGTCTTCAAGAATTTCTGTATACATAACTGTAGTCTAAACTATATACACAGGTATCGGAACACATTAAAATAGCACCCCCGATACGGGTTGTATAGTGTGGTGTTGTATTGGAAGACAAATCTCAGTGTACCAAAGGTCAGTGATCTGTTTGTTCTATAAGGGCCACAACAGTTAATGGCAGTATTTTTTTTGGTTGCTTATCTTCCAAATTCTTCATTCATTTTCTGTTATTTCAAATTTCTAAATTCATTTTCTTGAAACAGTTAATTGTCATTAACAGTTGTGTAAAAACGATCAGTGCTTAAAATAAGAGAAAAAAAAAAAGCTTTTTTTTTCCTTTTCTCTACGATTACTATTCCATTTTTTTTTTATATACCACAATTATAGTGGCCATAAAAAAAAAAAATTTGGTTTCAACACTTTTTGTAGTAAAACTGATGATTTTTTTTGAGTCATCCAAAACAGGAAATGCGGTCAACAATGCATTTAATAATGATTAGATTATTAAGAATTAGGCTTGTTTCATTGTACCCATTTGATAATAATAAGTCGTTTTATTTTTTTTTTTCATTCAACAATAAGTACATTTTAAATCAGAAAAAAAAACTGGTCTTTACAGTAGTAACAAAAAAAAAAAAGGTAATTATCAAAAAAAAAAAAACGTACAGCTTGAAAGCAAATGACCAAATAATTCAGCTAATAACTGTTTTTTTTTTTTAAGGTAAAACTTAGCAACAAACTGAGCTACGGTAATTACATAATTAAATAATATAATGCTATAAATTTTAAACTATAAAATTGCTGAATTATAAAACTTTTCTTTTGAATTTTATTTTTTTATACCAAATTAAAGTAAAGCTTAGAATCATTTTGCGCTGATTTCATCAGTTTTTTTTTTGTTTCTGTCAACTTCATTTGTTTAAAATGTATAGAAAGCTTAAATTTAGTTATTTCATAAACAAATCAATATATTTTGATAGACATATACAGTTTTTTTTTACTTTTATAAAAGTTTATCAGGTGAAAAAGGTTTGTCAAAAATAATTGAGATGAATACTGAAACTTGTCAAAGCTCTGTCTATACAGTTGCTGTTTTGGAAAAAGCGGAAGACGATGCCGAGGGGGAGGGGGGGGGGGGGGGGGGGGGGG